GCACACACCTGAGTCCTAACCACTCGGGAGGCTGAGGCAGGGGAATCGCTTGTACCTGGGAGGTGGAGGTTGCAGTTAGCCATGATTGTGCAACTGCAATCCAGCCTAGGTGACAAAGCAAGACTCCATCTCAAAAGAAAAAAAAAAGTTAGAATACTTGAAAGATAGAATAAGGCCCGGCGCGGTGGCTCAAGCCTGTAATCCCAGCACTTTGGGAGGCCGAGGCGGGTGGATCATGAGGTCAGCAGATCGAGACCATCTTGGTCAACATGGTGAAACCCCGTCTCTACTAAAAAATTACAAAAAATTAGTTGGGCATGGTGGCACGTGCCTGTAATCCCAGCTGCTCGGGAGGCTGAGGCAGGAGAATTGCCTGAACCCAGGAGGCGGAGATTGCGGTGAGCCGAGATCGCGCCATTGCACTCCAGCCTGGGTAACAAGAGCGAAACTCCGTCTCAAAAAAAAAAAAGATAGAATAATCTTTATAATTCCTTTCTGGAAATAAAAGCAAATAAATAATCAAAAACCACCAATTCTTTATTTACTTATTGGCAATAGTGCATGTCCTTTTTTCATTCCTTGCTCTACTTTTAAATATAGAAAAAAGAACCTTAACATTAATAAGTATGCTATCAAGCTATCTAATGACATGGTACATCTTGTTCCCCACTGTCCTAACAGTTTAATACTAAGTTTCACAGAAACTAATCTCAAGACTGTTCATAACTGCTTCATGGTAACAATTCTTTTTCTTTTTCTTTCTTTCTTTTTTGAGATGGCGTTTTGCTCTGTCTCCCAGGCTTGAGTGCAGTAGGGCAATCTTCTTGGCTCACTGCAACCTCTGCCTCCCAAGTTCAAGCAATTCTCCTATCTCAGACTCCCAAGTAGCTGCGATTACAAGCATGCACCATCTAATTTTTGTATTTTTAGTAGAGACAGGGTTTTACCATGTTGCCCAGGCTGGTCTCGAACTCCTGACCTCAGGTGATCCACATGCCTCGGCCTCCCAAAGTGCTGGGATTACAGGTGTGAGCCATAGCACCCAGCCCATTGTGACAATTTTTCTAACCAACATTTATCTTTCTGGTTATATTCCATCCAACAGAGACCATCTGGAGAAAGCCAGAGTGGAGGATCATATGATACTTTGTGTCCCAAGTTGAAACTCATTTTAATTGTACTCTAATCTTATGTCACAAGGGTTCTGAGGTAACATACAGATAATAAATCAAGTGGTAATAAGTGCCATGGGAGGCAGTTTAGTACACCTAGAAAGAATAAGGGCTTTGTAGCCATGAAGATCTTTTGGCTTCAAGTCTTAATTCTAGCCTTCTTTGCCTTCCTTTTATAAGAGAGAAGCCATAATATTAGTATACTGCCTCATATTGTTACCTATCTCTTATTTTAAAATACAAACTCCTTGAGAATAGAAATTACATGTTTTATACACCTTGGTATTCCCCCACATTGTATTTACACAGGTGCTCAAGAAATATTTGACTAATACTGGAATCAATTTTAGTGTATTAGATAAATTCCCTAATAGGTGCCCTTACTTCCAGATCCCACCCCCAATAGCACTTTCCCTATTAAAAGGCAAATCTGATCTTGTCCAATTGCATTTTAAAACCTTCTAAAGGTTCCCAGCTCTGAGAAAAGTCCTTGCTAAGACCAGCATTCATCTCTTCACAGCCTCTCTTATAACTCGGCCCCGCCCACCAAACTACTAAAGCTCTTGGAATGTTCTGTCCTCCTCCCTATCAGCTCTGACTGAAAAGGATAACACCTACTAGTTATTCAAGTATCAGCTTAAAAGTTGTTTTCTCTATCAAGTTCCATACTAATAGCTCCCCAACCCTCAACTAACTTTGAAGTCCTGCCTCCATAACTTGATAATACGCTCAACTTACCATCTAAGACTATAATTAAATGTTTATCTGCTTCCTTAGTTATCTGGTAAACTCTTTGGGGATGAGGATCACATTATATTCAGTTTTATACCCATTGTTTACCATAGTTACTGGCACAAAGAACACCTTTAATAAATATTACTTATTGAACATAATGCTAAAGTCCCACGTTTCCAACATTAGTTTCCAATTTGAGAATATAATCATGTTTATCTCTCTGTTTGCTTATAAATAACTTTAAAACATGACAACCCAATAGGTTAAAGAAAAAAAATTCTGGGGCTTTATCCTGAAGACACATTTGTTATGGCACAGACAGCAAAATCAGCACGATTTTTTTTCAAAGAACAGAAAAAAATATTTCATAAGAACTTGTTATTCTGGGGAGGGGAGGAAGTTGCTTTATGTTGGCCCCATCCCCAGAAGTTACAGTCACCAAACTGGATATGATTCTCAGTTAAAACAATCAGAGCCATGGATAGCAAAAGAATATAAAGAAATGACTGCTCAGTCTGGAATGCCATCTCAAGACCATGAGGTGACAAGCCTGGATGACTAAAAAGAAAGACAAATGAGCCTGCATTCCTGATAGCACCATGGAGCCACCATACCAGCTCTGGACAGTCTACCTCTAATTTCTCATTACTTGAGGAAAATAATCACCCTTGCTTGTTTATGTGACCCTCCTTTGGATTTCTGTGGCAGCTGAACATGATTCCTATTTGATGGGAAAGTTAGAGAAAGTTTAGGAAAAAGTTTGTTTAACCTAGAGAGGAGAGAGAGATTCTCAAGACAGGAATATCAGAAGTCTTAAAAAGACAGATATATATGATTGTATTAGTCAGTTTTCATGCTGCTGATAAAGACATACCCGAGACTGGGAAGAAAAAGAAGTTTAACGGACCTACAGTTCCACATGACTTGGGCCTCACAATCATGGCAAGGAGGCAAGGCAAGGAGGAGGAAGTCACATCTTACATGCATGGCAGTAGGCAAAGGGAAGAGAGCTTGTGAAGGAAAACTCCCCTTTTTAAAACCATCAGATTTCATGCGACTTATTCACTATCACAAGAATAGCACAGGAAAGACCTACCCTATGATTCAGTTACCTCCCATTGGGTCCCTCCCACAACATGTGGGAATTTAAGATGAGATTTGGGTGGGGACACAGCCAAACCGTATCAATGATTACATGAAACGCCAAAATAAAAATATACAATAAGCGATACCATAAACTAAAACAAAAGCAAACTAACAAAACTTATTTGTAAATTAGGTGAAATGATTATATCCATAATAAGGATATCAAAGAATACCATATATTAGTAAGGGAAAAAATCCAACAGGAATAAATGAGTAAAGATAAAAATAAGCAATTCATAAAACTGAAAATCAAAATGCCCGACAAATATATTGAAAGATGCTTAGGCTCATAGATAGGCAGGGTAATGCACTATAGGAAACTTTTTTTAAAAAACTCATTTTATTGTAAAAGAAAAGCATTCAGTGACAGTTTACAGAAGAAATAGTTACCTATTTCTCAGACATTAATGGTGACAATAAGAATTGTGTCAATATTTCTGAAAAATAGTTTAGCATTAAGTATTAAAATTAAATTAGTATATACTATGTACAAAGATATTAATTGTATTATTCATAATAGAAGACTAAAGACAACCCATATGTCCAAAACACACACAGTTACGGTTTCAGATATCTATTGCTATAGAACCATCCCAAACTTAGTATCTCAAAACAATACGTTATTTTTCACATCTCTGTAGGTTGGCTAGCAGTTTCTCTGCTGTCTTTATCTCTGGTTCCTGCGTGTTCAGCTAAAGGGTCAGCTGGGCTACCAGGTCCTGAACAACCCACTTTCACACCTGCTGGTTGGTGCTTGCTGTTAGCTGGGGCATTTTGGTTCTCCTACAAGACGCATCTAGTGTCTCCATACACTAGACCAGCTTCCTCACTCTCAGCTGCAGGAAAAGCATTCCTTGAAGCCTCTTAATGAGTTGGTGCCAGGATTCACAGATAATTTCTATTATATCCATTTATCAAAGTAAGTCACGAGACCAGCCAAGACTCAAGAAAGAGATGGAGAAATAGATTCTACCTCTAAACAGAAAAAGCAATGGCATACTGCAAAGAAGAATGCCTACCCAAATAGGAGAAATTTATGACTGCTAAACATTCTATCACTGGTATGCAGGTATGTGTGTGTCTGGATGTATACACATACTCACATGCACAATGAAATACTATGTAAGTTGTTAAAAAGAATGGAAAGGTTTTCAAGATAAGTTAAAAAAAGATGTAGAATAGTTAATATAGTATGTTACCATTTGTGTGTGGAGAAACTATGCATATATTTTATCCCATATATATATGTTTGTAAGTTCTAGATTTAAAAATTATCTATTAGAACATGTAAAAGTGTCGGCAAGCTAGCTGAAGATGCAGGGCAGTGAGGTCATGTTGGGAAGAATACCAGAAGTGCAGGCTAATTAGACTAGAGGCGAGGACAATGGGTGTTGTGTGGAAACAGAGAGCTGCAGAGTCGTAGGTCCAGTGAAGGGTTGTGGATCCACAAAGAGGCAAAAGCCAGCAGGCCCAGCAGTTAATGAAGCATGTTGGTAGGGGCAGATGAAGGTAGGAGACCGTGTACATGGCAGGGAGAATGATAGCTTACTAGGCGAATAAGTAAAACAAATGGGCAAATGATAAATATATTGAGGCTAATGCAAAGCCTAGCTTCTTACTGCCAGGGAAGGCATTTATAAACATTTAAAAGGAGAAAGCTAGGAAAAACCCCGAAGTGTTAGACTAGAACTGGAACTACAGGAACAACTTTAAGATTCTCTAATATATACACACAGGTACAGAAATAATTATGTATGTATATGAGTGTGGTTTTGTATATGTATGTATATACAAACCATATACAAGTGTCCTAATTCTATTTTCTATCACGGCTTGGAAGCAATGACACTCCTGTAGCAACAAGCACACTAAGCCCCCAAATCTTTGTTTTTAAATACTATCTTTCACAAAACAAACAAACAAACAAAAAAACCTCAAACAACTCACAAAAAACAAAAACAGGGCTCCTTGGAGAAATGGCTGATTCCAGGGCTAGAGTAGACAAAGCACAAGATGAACCAGGAACAGCCTATTCTGCCACAAAGTCCTAAGGAAAGACACAATCAATGAAATAGAAGGATGATATATGGGCAGAGGAGCCAGCTTGAAGAGGCTTCTATTGGCTAAATCAGGAACAGATTAAAAAGCAAAATAAATAATAACAGTAACAAATCAGACCATATTTAACAAAATAGAAATCCATGAGTCTTTACTGCTTTAATTAATAAATGAAAAAGAAAGAGGTGAAATCCGCGTCTCTATTAAAAATACAAAAATTAGCTGGGGTGGTGGGCACCTGTAATCTCAGCTACTTGGGAGGCTGAGGTAGGAGAATTGCTTGAACCTGGGAGGTGAAGGTTGCGGTAAGCTGAGATCACACTACTGCACTCTAGCCTGGGCGGCAGAGCAAGACTCTGTCTCAAAAAAAAAAAAAATAGTACCTTGTGACATAATACCAACTAATATGTACAGAAGGAATAACAGAAATAAAGACATATTATTTGGCAATCATCATAAAAGTGGTTAATTCAGGTGGGAGTCATCAGTGACACCCAATAAAGCTGATGAGTAGAGGTTTGATGAGAAACAGGATACCAGAAAAATTTTGGAAGACATCTCCACAAACACTAGTCAATTACAAAAGGCACAAATACAATCTTGACAATATTTAGTGGCATGGTTTTAAATTGTATGCCTCTAAATGGAAAACACTGAGCAGAGCACAGCACCATTTCTGTGGTATTACTACCAGGAATGCATAACCTGATTGGAGTCATGAGGAAACATCACAGATCTAGGATGAGGGTACCAAACAGAATACAGGGCATATACTTATTAAAACTATCAAGGACATGAAAAATGGAAAACTGAGGCTGAAGAACTACAAACAGACATAACTAACTAACATGTATTCCTGGATAGGATGCTGAGCCAGAAAACGAAGAGATATTGTTAGGACAGTAGATGAAATTTGTATAGGTTCTTTGGACTAGATAGCAGTGTTGTATTCATGTCAATTTTCTTCTTTGGACAGTAGTATGTTGACTATATAAGAGAGTGCTTTTTTTTTTTTTTTTGAGACGGAGTTTCACTCTTGTTACCCAGGCTGGAGTGCAATGGCGCGATCTCGGCTCACCACAACCTCCGCCTCCTGGGTTCAGGCAATTCTCCTGCCTCAGCCTCCCGAGTAGCTGGGATTACAGGCACGCGCCACTGTGCCCAGCTAATTTTTTGTATTTTTAGTAGAGACGGGGTTTCACCATGTTGACCAGGATGGTCTCAATCTCTTGACCTTGTGATCCACCTGCCTCGGCCTCCCAAAGTGCTGGGATTACAGGCTTGATCCACCGTGTTGGGCCGAGAGTGCTTATTTTTAAGAAATAGACACTGCAGTGTTTAGGGGTGATGGGATACAGTGTCAGCAGTTTGCTCCAAAAGGCTTAAAGACTGTAATGAGGCCAGGTGCGGTGGCTCACACCTGTACTATAATGCCAGCACTTTGGGAGGCCAAGGCGGGTGGATCACGAGGTCAAGAGATCGAGACCATTCTGGCCAACATGGTGAAATCCCGTCTCTACTAAAAACACAAAAATTAGCTGAGTGTGGTGGCACATGCCTGTATTCCCAGCTACTTCGGAGGCTGAGGCAGGAAAATCACTTGAACCCGGGAGGCGGAGGTTGCAGTGAGCAGAGATCTCACCACTTCACTCCAGCCTGGCAACAGAGCGAGACTCCGTCTCAAAAAAAAGAAAAAGAAAAAGATTGTAATGAGTATGTATGTATAGAGACAGAGAGAGAGAGGGCAGGCAACAGAAGAAATGAAGCAAAATATTAACAATGGGAGAAATCTGGGTGAAGGGGATACAAGAGTTCTTTGTACTGTTCTGCCATCTTTTCTTTACATGTTAAATTATTTCAAAATGATTTTTTTAATCTGAAAATAAAGATGTGATATAGAACATCTAATGATAGAGCAAATGTGAATCACTTATTGCCTAAGGCCAGGAAACAGAATGAAAACCCTGGCTGAGTATGTTGATTTACATACTTTCCTTTACCACACTCTGAAAGGATGCATTAACAAGAAGGGCAATGTTTATGCCTATTTGGAGAACTAAGAGCATCTCAATGAACCCTCCCTTCTCTTCATGGATTTTAAATGGGCATTTTACAGCTCAATGAGGAAAGGAATCTTGGCTTACTCATCTTTGTAGTCCGAGCCCCTAGTCCATTTATAATTTAGTCATTTTTATGTTCTTGAACAGGAATTCTACATCCAATATTGTTTCAATGAGAAAAATATAGTGACTTGAGTAGCAAGGATTTTGCTACACTGAAAGGGAAGGAATATTTATGTTAAGTTAAAATTATATGTCAGATTGAAGATAGAAAAATATCAAGGATTAACTTTCTTAGCAACTCAAGTATTAAATATCTGCTCTAGAGTTTTAAAAACAGAAGAATGTGTAACCAGTAGTAAAAATCATTATCCTAAGAATAGCAAGTTGCTAACAGTTTTGGTTAAAAATAGTAATAAAATAAAATGTTTAGGATAAAAATAAGGCTTTTGAAGAAAAGGGTTGACAGTGGAAAACGACGTTTTAAGAAATGTTGAGTTTCTGAAAAATTATTAGGCTGAACCATATCAAACTGCCGATAAAGCATATATCCTACCAATAATGAGTATGATAATTTTCAAATCTGAAAGCATACATTTTCATTGCAGAAACCAAAACTCTCCAAGGCCTTTAGTTGCCAAAATTAAACTCAAAAAATTTAAAAGCTAAAAAGATGTCACATGGCTCAATACACTACCCTTCCTGGAGAAAACACACATTTTTAGTACATTTTAAAAGCTCTTGGTCCCATTCTTGAACTTGAGGGAAAAAAGGGTAAACATGCCTGAAGATCTATGTTACAGTTAACCATAATAAACTTTAGAATTAAGTCTTTTCAAAAGTTTAAACAACAACTGAAAATTACATTTTAACAGTATATCATTATCTGCTTTAGAACACAAAAGATACTAATACCTTATGAAATTAGGATTTTTCTATTCAAAGCAATATTAGAGAATTAAAAACTGTTAATGACTATATGGCAGTTTCTACCCTTTAAGGACTATAAGTCAAATCTTTTTGAAAATATTACAAGGAAAAAAACTCCAGTAACACTATACATCAGATTCTGTATGGCTTTTTATTATTATTTGTGTGTGTGTGTGTGTGTGTGTGTGTGTGCGCGTGCGCACTCTTTAAATGGAGATAAAATACATTTTAGGATTATTCCAAGAATTAAATGAGATAATTTATGTAAAACACTTAGCACGGTGACTGGCACAAATTATGCATTCAATAAATGGCAACTATCGTGCTTATTCTTATACAGAGGGTATGAAACAACCTTGCAACAGGGTCAAGTGGCTTAAAAACCTGTAAGAGAAGTCAATAAGGCAGATGGATAGAAATCACAGTCAAGTATCTAGACTGGAAACCTCAATTTGGAAAGGAACCTTGACTAATTTACCTTTGTACATCGAGAACCTAACAAAGTGCCTGACACACATAGTAGATGCTCAATGGTTTACTGAAATGAAGTAGACATGAAAGTATCTAGAAGGCTGGGTGTAGTGGCTTACACCTGTAATCCCAGCACTTTGGGAAGCCAAGGCAGGCGGATCACCTGAGGTCAGGAGTTTGAGACCAGCCTGGCCAACATGGCAAAACCTTGTCTCTACTAAAAATACAAAATTTAGCAGGGTGTGGTGGTGGGCGCCTGTAGTCCCAGCTACTCATGAGGCTGAGGCAAAAGAATCACTTGAACCCAGGAGGCAGAGGTTGCAGGGAGCTGAGATCACACCACTGCACTCCAGTCTTGGTGACACAGGGAGACTCCGTCTCAAAAAAAAAAAAGTATCTGGAAAAGAAAGAAAGAAAGTTTGGAAAGGAAAGAGGCAGTCTGAGATTGTAAAAGAAACTGAGAAATAACGGTCTAAAAAATAAACTGAGAAATAAACAGTCTGAAAAATAAACTGAGAATCCAAAAATTACCATTCCCTCTAAAGAAGTCACTTTGAAAAGTAAATTAAAAACCTAAGTATTTTTAGATCAATGTATAAAAATTCTCCCCACACTGGTCTCTTTAATAATGATTTAGTCCCCTCCCAAATGCTTTTTGGCAAATGTGTCAAATATTTGAAGGAAATCTTTTAAAACTTAATTTAAATAAATGTTATGTGATCTTCAAAGGGGGAAAAATTACCCAAAACATTCAGGAATCTTTTCCAACTTCATTTCAAGGACATTCAAATTAACTTAATTCATAGTTCGTCCATCTACTTATATATGAAAATGAGCTTACACTTTTATCTACAAGCAAGTTGTAAATACGCATATTTCACTTTCACAAGTTTGAGTGCATACCCCAGAAAAGAAAGTAAAGAAAACTTACTCTTTGAGAAGTGGGCAGTGCCACAGGAGTACAAAAGAATGGCTAACAAAATTTCCCTCCTATGTTTCAGTTGAGTGTATTATTAAGGGTGTGGCTTTTGCTTTCTGTAAAATTGGTCAGTTTCTGAATAAGAGTAGGGTGCTATAGTGGCTCCCTCCTATGTTTCAGGAGCCACCTACCTGTTAAAGCCCTTGTTTACAGCACAGTCTGCTCAGTTTCAGAATCCTTACATACTGAAAACTCAAAATTCTCAGTGGGACCAGTGCAATAGGAAAATATAATCCTATCTTCCCCATCCTACCCCAAGGAAAAGAGAGAATCAACAAATACTTTTTTCTAAGACTTCTCCAAGATAGCACCCATCACCTCACCATTGCACCCTACTCTTATTCAGAAACTGACCAATTTTACAGAAAGCAAAAGCCACACCCTTAATAATACGCTCAACTCCGTACAGTGCTTGGTTTCTGTGCTAAGTACATTTCCAGAGAGAGAGCTGGAGCTACATCTCCTGAGCCTACTTCAAATTAACATCTGTGAACAGTGAGAAGTTACAAATCAAATAATAGCCCCAAATCAACTGATGAAATGAGATTTGGGGGAAAAATCATTAAATATATCCATCTTTCTTAATGAAATGACAATGCTTTTCAGCAACACAAAACACCAAAGCTACCAGTTCATACTACACAGTAGTTTGAAGAATACCAATCTGCAGTACAGAGTAAAATTATTCTTAAATTATCATTTGCTTCCTATGGTGCTCTGAAAAGTAGCAGATGCATGAAGTCAGATAAGAGCTATTGTTCAATCACTGTCAGCATTAAAATTATTTTTAAATCTAATTTCTGGAAAGTTCTGCAGTAGCAGTTTAAAAAGCAAATCAAATTCTAATGAGAAAAAAGTCTAGTTCAAAATCTGAAAATACACTTTGAAGATATTCACAATTTAAACTAAGAAGCAAGAATGTCATAGGCAGCAAGGTGTGTAATATCTGTGAGTAGCTGATTTCTCTGGAATTAAAAAATTTTCTCTGGAATTAAGGATTGAAAATAATTATCAAATACTATCTAATATGATCTTTTTAAGTTTCTTGTCTCCATTACCAAAGCAAAAGCTTCCAATACAAAGATTTTCACACCTTACACATACCCACATACTTCACAAATTAAGAACTAGATGAAAAACACTAAAATTTAAAGGTATCTAAAATACACTATTTGAAACAGCAGACTCTTATCTTTACATTCATCTAACAGACCTACTAGTAAAGATCTTCTGAAATGGATGGTCATTTCAAACAAGATTGTTCGACATGCCATTCCGTGTGAAGAGCTAGGGAGACTAATTCTCAAAACATCCTCAGGAGATGCTTTATTACAGCTCCAGTTTCAATTTCCTGCATCTCAAACAGCCACGTACAGAAAATAGCTCGTACATAGGGAGAAAAATCAGAATACAGGGGAGCGCTCCACTCTTTTGTTTTGGTGGCAGAAGCTGCAAAAAATAAAGGTTCACTGGAACCATCTGCACCTATCCCCACCCAGCACAGCCCTGCAGAGCACTTTTACCCATCCATTCCTAAAGACTCTCTCTAGCCGCCGAGATCGGCAGAACCCGCGGCTTTCCACGTCTCAAAGGATGGGCAGGGGAGGATGCGAAGAAGGACACAGATCCTTTGAGGACAGAGGGACAAGAAGATGTATCCAGATGGGGAGGATGGGACGCGTCACGGAGACCTGGAGGCTTGCAAATTCCCTGGGAGAAAAGCCCTATA